TGAGAATATTTGAGTCCCCATCTTAGTTAACTTTATTCTTTAAAATGATTAGTTTGAGTTTTATTTAATTTAGATTAAAGTGAGCAGTCTGTTACTTATCATGTGGTAATGAGGCAGCAGTAAGTGGTTTGATAATGTTGCAGATTACAGTTTCATGTTACAGTTTTTCAGCCAGGTGTGAATAGAGAGACGAACGCACACAAACGGGGCCTGCTGTGTGATAGCTTGAGTGACATCCCCCCCCCCCCCCAACGCTGTTTTCAATTGTTTTTCTTGTTTTCAAATGTAGGTAGAGGAAATGAATGTACAGTTGCAGCTGGTTTAACAGAGATTCCCTCTGAAGACGAGGATCACAAGCAAGTCAGCTTGAGTCTTCAAAACATGGTCAACGAAACAAAGGTAAGAAGTTTTTTAATGTTTAACTCAATTGAATTGTGTAATTTACTGTCGATTCAGATTTTTCTGCACCTGTTACGTCCCAAGAGAGCACATAACCCGTCATAGTACCTACGTTTTTTTAAAGAAATCATGTTGATGATACGTTTCCTACTGTGTTATGGGAAAAAATTGGAGTGGGGCTGGAAAAACAGGATGCAACGAGTATTAAGTCACCAGTGGGAAGCTTACTGATTCAATAAAAATACTGATGTCATGATGTCTGATGACATTGGATTAAACCGTTTTAATTACAAATCCCCCAATTAGTAATTTATATACATTTCCTTTGTATTTGTATCTATTGTGCTTTTGTATCAGCTAATTTTGATGAAGTTGACTTTTGAGACTTTTCCTCTTTTTAGTGACATTCTTAGTTCCAACCAGTCTGAACTTTGCACAGTGCATTGTTTATCTTATTTCATCACATAAATGCAGAAACAGTGTAACAAAGTATATAAAAAAATGTTGAGTTAGATGCATGTTCTATCTGTTCTTCACACTTTCATTGACTTGAGCTTGTCTTTTATTGATCTTCCAAAACTATTGCAGCTGTAGACTATGACAAAATCCTGTGACAATTGAAGTTTTCTGTAATATAGGAAGTTTAGGAAGTAAACTAAACATGAGTAGCGTGCGTCCTTTTTGAAGTATTTCCTCCATAAGGTCATACACTTCCATAGCTGTAGGCGTTTGACGCATCTAGCCTAGAGGTTCTGTCTGGTCCTGAGGGGCTTCCTGTGTTTTTGCCTCTGTGATGGTAGCATACAACTTCCTCGCTCGTGAAATGCACCTGGGCTCTGTTTTCGTTACGCTGGTAACCTCAACAAGCTGTAGCTGAAACGAGCCAAACTTGACGTCATCTCCCCCGGGGATCTGTTCTGGTTTGACTTCATTGTAGCCTGATCACAGAGACGTTGCAGTTGCTCTCTTAGTTCTGTAAAGCTCCCGATAATAGATGAATGTCCAAATATGAGGCAGTATTGGTAAACGCGGTCATTCGTGATTAAGTGCTTGGAGGTAACACCTGCATGGCTCACCAGTCTTTGAAAGTGCCGATGATAAACTGATGAATTTCATGCTGTTTGACTTTGGGTGAATACAGTGCAGATTTGCTGTTGCAGTTGAGACTCTGACATTTGCAGAAAATGTCACCAGATTACATGTGTTGAACACAACAACAGAATTATTTTGTTTATTTTTAGCAGGCTACGAATGCTCAGTAATGAATTAGTCTTTACTTCAAATCAGATGTGGACCTCACGTGTCATTTATTTATTTATCTCCTCATGATTCTTACCACTCTTTACTGTGAATTATCTATTAAAGATACAGTTCTTTTAAAAAATCATCGTCCAACCAAGAAAGCACCTCAACGTCCTCCCATGTGTCCCTATTTGAGCTGTGGCTCTTTGTAGCGTGTCATTCATTATCAGTATTTCCTCATTTCTTTTCATCTCTCTGCTGTCAGTTCTATAATAAATCCATGAAAGGGCTCCAACAATGCTCTAAAAATGTATTTTCCATCTATCCTCTCGATCTCATTATGACTTCTATCATCATAATGTGATTGAGATCTCTTTGGTTTTCTGAAGTGTCATTTTCAGTGCGCAGAGTAGCAGCCATCAAGCAGACCTAGTCATACAGTGAAGAATTTCCTTCATTTGTGCTCAGAGGCCGTGCTGCAGTTCACACCAGCTCTTTGTCAGAGGCTCATTATGTGCAACTCATTCTTCAGTGCCTGTTTTTTCTTTTGCTGCTGCCAGAACATGTCCACTGCATAAGATAAGCCAAAGTCCCCTTTGAGGAACTGTCAGAATAGCTGCCCATGTTTTGAGCCGTTTGACTTAGTTTGAAAGGGCTCCAAACGAGCCGATTTTCTGGTCACCTTTTGGCAGTTCTGTAGCGTTAGGTAACCCTCTTGTGGATCATTAACAAACTGGAATATCAAAACATTTTCCCTTTTGAAGAAAGCTTCTGTCTGGACAACTGAGGAGTAGCAGTCATGGGGCGGTGGTGACCGACTCAATGACTTCCCAACTTGCTTATCAGAGATAATGTGATGTTTGACTGGTGTGGGCAGGGCTGGCGGACCGTTTTGGCACCACTGTGTATAGCAGGCCTTAACCCCTGACTTCCAGCTGGGGGACCAGATATCAGAGTGTGGCAGGAAAAGGCCTGGTGGTCCTGTTTGTAACTGCTGCTCAGGTGTTTGTGTTAATGATAGCTTGCTGTATTGGGGCCAAAGTACGAGTCTGGATGGACCACAGTCGTCAGGTTACAAATTTACAGTTCCGCTTCAGTCGCCCTGAATATGTTTTTCTCTCCTCGTGGCCTTGGTATTTGATTTCCTTTTTGGTCTCTATGCAACTATATATCCGGCAGGGTTATTGAAAGTGCACGGTCTGTCTGGCTTTTGAATAATGATCCTTTTATTTGTTCAGTACTATATCATGCAACAAACCAGCTCACAATACTTACCCCCAGAAGAAACATACATTACATTCCCTAGTGTCTTTGAGCCTTTTATATTTATAGATATAATATATAACATCTTGGCTACTTTAAAGTGTAGATTTGTTCTACATAGAGTTAACATATTTTACTCTTGTCTTCTCTTTTTTACACAAACACAAGCCAAGAAACAAATGAAGCCAAATCTGTGCTTTTTAGCTGCTACACTTATATTTGTTGCCAGATGTTTTATGTGACACAATACAATGTGGGGTTTCTAGATCACACAGTGAGGCTTAGAGCTACTCCTCAAATATAAAATAGGTGTGAAAGCATCGAGTTCAAGAACATGTTGTGTAATGGTTTAATTGATTTCAGTCTCTGTTTTCTCACTTCAAGCTTCTGTCACATTTCTTCACAATGACATTGGTTATTACTTGAACTGTCAATGACCGTTTAAGTAAAGAGGAATTTGGTTAAGAAAAATGTTTCATCCCTGTCATAATTCTGTGTGTTTGTCTTTGTTTCAGGCTATGAGAACATTGGTTATGACAAGCATGCCCTCTGAGTAAGTACCTCAAACTTTTTGTCACATTGGTGAGCAAGTTGGTAAAAAAAAGTGTCATTTAATAGTTTGTGTTGGATGCTTTCTACTCATTTCACCTCTTGTAGGAAGCAGCAAACAGTGGGTCAGGTGGTAAAAGCACTGGGTGGTTTTTCAATCGTTGACCGAGTGTGTGAGAGCACAACTCATGTGGTGTCTGGGGGTCACCGGCGGACTCTCAATATACTGTTGGGCATAGCTCGTGGCTGCTGGATCCTCTCTTTTGAATGGGTATGTAGATTGAATATGTTGCGATAACCACTATTGATGATATTATATTATAAGTCTGACACTATCTTTTATTTTTATTTTTCCTGAGTAGATTCTCTGGTGTTTGGAGCAAAGGCAGTGGATTCCAGAGGAACCATATGAACTTTCAGACCAATTTCCTGCAGCACAGGTGAGTCCAAGTACTAATCTAATACTAGTAAAAGTGTCCATGACACAAGTACTACCAGCATTAAACTGCACTAAATCATATATATAGACATATAAATCTTTACAACGCTCTTTTTTGACACTCCAAACTAATAAACGCTCGTAAAACCAAAGCCGAGGAAGCTGGACGGAAACCTGCTAATTTTTATTGCTAGTCATCCATTTTCAGTCCGCTTGTTTTTCCTGAAGCATCCTGTGCGAAAGGTGAATGTTGCCTCTTCCTGAACTCGTCATTCATGAATCACTGTCCCCCTCCGCCACTGCGAGGGAAGACATACAGTCTTGATGGAGACAAATGTCAGCACATTTCCTCTTAGAATTACATGCTGTCTTTTGTTGTGACAGACAAAGTATTTTCATGTCCCACGGCCGTTTATCATTCCTTTACTCTTATGGACGCATCCACCACATGCTTCCCTCTTTTCATTCAGCTCCTATGTCCTGTGGAGGTGGAGGAGCCCGGTGTTGCCTTCAGCTGTTGTCAATATTAATGATAGAAGCTGATTTTAGACGTGTCCATTACTATTGTTTAAACGGGCAATTGTCAAAGTGAATTTTGTTCTCATCTCTTGCGTATCTTGTAATGTAAAATTATGTTCCTCTGTTCAAATAATGAGGTATGACCTCAGTGAATTGGCATTAAGATTAAAAGACTGAAGCCTACTTGTCACATAAGGCCGATATGTGAAGCAGCTCTCTACTGTAACTATCCCTTTTTTATTATTTATCTCTGCATTAGACCATTGTGGGAAATGTTACAAATCAATAATCAGGATCTTTATATTAATCTGATAAAGTACTGTACCTTGATTTGGCTCATTGTTTAACTCATTAAATTATCCAAAAACAAATGTTACCAATTATTATTATTATAACCATAGCCCGATTTTCCTGAAACATTTGTCATGACATATATCAATATTGCAATATAAAATCACATATACTATAATTTATTTTATTTTATTAGGATTTTATCCATATTGGCCACAAATAGCTATACACTTACACTTGACATTCTTAATTAAACTGTGATTAGCGACCTCAAAAGCAACACAAATGCAACTTTGGAGCATGTAGAATTTTTATTTTGTAGTAGAAATGATAAAACATTGCTGAAAAGGTTGTGGTGAACGTTGTGTGCGTTCACCAGGCGGTTCATTGTTATAGTGGAGAACAGAACTATTGTGGAAAAGGGCTGAAGAGTCAAGGCTCATGTCTTTGGTTATCTGCCTCATGGTTGTGTTTAATATTCAACTTCAGGTATATAATGGCTGGTAGAGCATTACAGTCACTCTGAAAGATCTAAAGCCAGTGTTTTCCGGTGAGAAAGTCAGCTTCCTCACTTTCTCATAAATTCTTCTCGTAGATTCAAAAGAAAAATTACATAAATAAAAAGAAATAATTTCCCAAAAGACTGCAAAAATATCATCATTGTGTGGGAAGGTACTGCAGAATTATATTAAAAGGATTTCTCTTATTTTATGTGCAATTTTATCATTAACTAGCCTGGAACTAGCACTTAAGATCTGTAACAAATCTCCATCATATAGAATATTGTTAAATAGAAACCTTTAAATCTACATATAAATTAAATAACAAATGTACATACATTCTCTGGAGAAATACAACGTCATCTTAAGAGAAATATTTTCTGTGGCATTTTTTTTACATTTGCATTTACATTTTAGGCATTTAACAGAAGATTTTCCAGAACACATAACAATCACTTTGAGCCAGTTGTTTATCTGCATGTTGTACCATAGTCTCTTTTCTACAATGACACGGGCAGCTATGATTCAAAACATAGTTAAGATTGTGCTTAAACTAAATTAAAATCATTTAATAAGAAATTAAATTAATTAACGTCACATTGTAGGCTGGCCTCTCTGGTTAGCTAGCTGTTATTACTCAATGTTATTACTATACCTTTTAGTTATCTATACACACCACATTCATAAGTATTGTCAGTATAGATATTTGTCATTTTGACAGTCCGTATTTCACAGTGTTTTGCAAAAAACCCATTTGATTCAAATTATTAAACACATGAACACAATATGCCTTTCCAAAGGTATGCAAAAAATATATTCATTGAAGTGCTTTGGCTCCCTTGAGAATTTGTATTTTTGGTTTTGTTGTTTGTTGCTGTTTGTCAGGCAGAATTTCCTTCCCACTTTGTTTAATCTGAGAGTGACAGTTCAAAGGGAACCTGAGAAGTCTGCCGGTCTGATCATCATTGTGGTGGACTTCAGTGAGTAGCCCGAGCCTTTCCAATAGTACCATTTGATTCCATTGAAGCGATTTGAGTTTTGGCCTTGCGGGTAATACATCCCGTTCAAATTGGACGGACCGCAGGCATCAAACCACCAACCTAGAACATCAAAACAAACATTGGCAATTTAAATGTGGTGTTGTCAAAGATGATAATTCATGCAACTCTGTGTAGAACAGGAATGGTGTTTTCTTTAGTGTGATAGGTTAACCTGTTTTAAAAAGGGTTGGTGGGCTTAAAACGTTTCTTTCATGCTTGACAGCTCTTTCTGTCACATATATGAGGAGATTACTCATGATCACAGGGCAAAGCTACAGAATAAAATCAAATATTACACATATAAAGCCCCTTTCAGAGCTAAACCATCATTACAAATGCATTTTTTTTCATTTATAAAGCTGTGGGCGCGAGTTTAACCCATGAGACAACACTAGAAGTCAAACTAGAAGAAATTAAAATTTTATATATGGAGGCGTTTTAAACTGTACTTTCAGGAGACTGTTTACACTCCTGTAGAGCCTTGATCACACTAAAAGACTTTCAAAGTTGTGAGATCTCTTTCAACTTTCAGTCTTCTAATCGGGGCTCATGAAGTCAGTGTGGTTTCACCTTTTGAGGTTAACAAACTTTAACATCTGCTCCATATAGAAAGAATAGAGGAAGTTGAGATTTGTCACTTATTGTGGAAACACACCTTTTTGTTTTTAGGTTTTTATCAGTTTGTGCTGGGAAGAGTGACTGATAACATGGCTTATTAACTCTTAAAGATGCAGTAATAAAGGGGGTGTCCTATGTAGTCCATAGGAATAGAATGTATATCTGTAAACAGCGTTCAAGAAATAAAAGTAAAATCTTTTCGTTAAAAAAATATAATGATTAGAGCTCATAAGATTATGGTTTTACATAGCATAATTTCACACCGCCAGTTCAGTGCAATTTAATATAGCTTTATAATAATAGGTCCTTTGACCAGGTCATTGTTGAAACTATATGAGAGAGCAGTTTATTCAACTCTATGATAATCATTAATAATCGATAATAGAATTGAAGAGTACTCCACTGATTTAACTTTGCACTCCTTGCAAATATTGTAAAAATTGGTTAATCAGAACCAGAGATATCGTCTTTTTTAATCCACGCTTTCCTCTGCCTTGGTACCCACAATGCAAACGGTCTTCAGCAATTATGACTTCACACAGCTCCCTCTGGAGTCACAAAAGGTTTTATGCAACTTGTTTCTCACATGTAATAGTATTCCCCAACGCTGTAAACAGGCTTTGATGTGTAAAACCAGTGAGAGTTTGCCTTCAAAGTCATAGTTGTTGAGTTGGGTTGAAAGGCTCTTATACTGACAGGTGTATCTAATCATTTTTCAGCCCCCTTTTCACTTGCATTCATTCAAATTTGTATTAATTCAAAACAGGCAGCCTTTCGTATCGGTAATGGCAGATCCTGCTTTACTCTTTTTACTGGTCCAGTGCCACACAATTGTGCATAATGTGCATGCGGAGTCCCTTGTGAGAGACCTCTCATGGGAAAAAAAGGATAAGGTTAGGGTTTTCATGCTTTCATGCTCATTTGGCAGACCCCAATACAGAGGGAGACAAACTTCTGGCAGCGGAGTCACTTTAAAGGGAACGGAGGAGGACCTTTAAGCTACAAGAGGAGAGAGGGAAAAGCTCTGTTCCCAGGCTATTAATGTCAGCCATTGTAGGGGCTGAATTCCCCAATGAGTTGATCAGTGATTAACTCTGAGCTAATTGTGCTCTTTGACCAGGCCACAACAGTACGGGAGCGCTTAAAATGCCCTTGAAGATTTTTGGGGGAAATGCCAAGATTGGGGTGGGTGGGAATTTGTGCCATCGCAAGTTGACACGATTATTGTATTTTCCTGAAAATGACAATTAATCAAAAAGCACAAAATATGTTTCTTACCCCCTGTTGTCAGTTGTGAACATTTGCAAACACATTTGTCGTTGTCTGCATCCTTTGTACTGAAATCATTTCCTGGCTGCCCAATGCTGCTTATTTTGCCTGCTGTTCCACTGAAGCCTTTAAGGTGTATCCTGTAGAATGGAAAAGGAAAAATGAAGGAAGAGGAGGAGGAAGTCCATGATTGCTGTTCCTCAAAAGGCAACGTCCCACTCACTCATACAGTTCTTTGGCCATAACTTCACTACTACTGCGTCTAAAATGGGTTTTGGCATAAGGATTAAATTGTGAGCTATTTGCATTAGAGTTTTGTTACAGTTACAGTTTTTTCTGCTGTTTGTGTGATTTCTATTTTTATTTTAAGGATTCGGGTAATGCTATTTGTGCAGTTTCATTGTCGGGGTTGTTTGGAATTACTGAGGCAACTAACTGAAGACCAAATTGGTCATAGTCAAGTAGACGTGAGACCTGAATAGAACTGTGATGAATTGGAGAATTTCAAGGTCTGTTTGTCAAATTCAAAGGAAGTATCCATTCCACTCCTGAAATCAGCTTAGGCTCGGAAAAGAAAATACTTCTAAAGGTTGTGTTGTTGCCAAGAGGTGAAGACTAAATGTTAGAAATCCAAGACATTTCATGCATTTCCTATTTTTCAAACACTGACCAGTTTTATTACATTTTCTTTGGGCTGGTGCCAGTAGTATCAGTATCAGGAAGTAAATAGTCTTATACAGCAAAGAACCTCCATCCAGAGGAATTTCTATAATGTGTTTTGCTTTTAAATAGGAGGAGAAATCATAGAAGACTGTAGAATGAATTTGGGCTGCACGATGTGATAAAAAACATCATATTGCGATTATTTTGACAAATACTGCTATTCACAATTAGTCTGGGAAGCATCACAAATTTAATTTTCACTGAAAAAATGATTAAAATCATGATGTTTTGTAGTCTGTACCATGTTTTCTTACATCTAAAGAACAAGATCCTTAGGCCAGGTAGTCTGTAGCACTACAGTACTTCATTATAATGCTGTTTGTTTTTACCTTTATCAAAATATTGCAGCTTCTGCAATTTGCATATTGCACTTGGCCATATTGCAATTTCCATAATATTTTGATTTAATTATGCAACCCTAGAATGAATCCTTCTTACACATTAGTGCTCCGAACAACCAGAGCAAATTCAGTGGAAAACAACCACAAGTGCTGTCAGTGTGTCTATTAACGTGGTCTCATCTTCACTGTACTACATGTAAACTCTTTAATTTATGAAAAAGCCTTCCTTTTTCAAGGACTATTGCTTCTGAATGTTGTCAATAACATACTTGTTAAATTCTTCATAATAATTGCAAGGCTTTAAGTTTTGAGGCTGTGCTTTTGTTACGCTGCTTGGCTGAAAATAGGCAGTTGACAGTTATGAACACAGGTAGGTGTTCAGGATAGCAGACTTGTACAGCACAGTTGTAAGAGAGAAGCATTATTTGCTGATTGTCTTCTTTTTCCTTGATAACTTGAGCTACAGGTGCTGTAAAATTTTGTCTCAAAGCAAATATTAAACTGTTCAGTGATTGTCGCCGGGCATCTGAGTTATTTATTTCTTTGATGTTGTCAGCACAATGTACCTGTAATTTTGTGCTTCACTGTCAAGAGAAAACTGGTCATATTGTGAGAATCCAGAGTTTCCTTCCCAGTCACTCAGCTGGATCCTTAGTTTGTAGGACTGTTGAATTGTCAGTCTGGAGACAAATTCATTTCCTAACCAGAATTCACCTGAAGCTTCTCCAAACCCCTACAAAGACACAAAAGAAATTTAATTAAATTTTGTTGAACCCCTGCAAGTAGGGGCATGTCGTTTTTTTTCCATGAACAAAACAGCAAACAGACAGAGGGCCACCGTGTATGGTACATTTCTTGGCTATTACACTGAAGGTAATTTTTTACAGAAATACTTACACAAAACAATCTCAGATACTTACATTCATAATGAAATATTGATTTTAAACGGAATGCTTTTCCTTTTATTGATTGCTCTGTAGGGACTTGAGAATAGATTTGAGATTCTTTTTGGCGTGGTATTGGCCCATCTATCTTACTATTTTTGGGAACCAGCTAGAAGCCTTTTTGATGGTAGATCATAAGTAAAGTTTTGGATGCACTTGCAGAAATATTAGATATGCTGTGATTAAATCTGATCCTAACATTATTGTGGGTTCAGAATATTGGGGGTGCCTTGCTGGCATTATTTTCTTTGATAGTGATCACTGTGCTTGTAGTTTTAGTCTGTCCCTTCTTCTTTGGCTTGCATGTAGGAAATGCCTCTTAAAAGTGCAGAATCACCAGTCCCTAGAAACACTTTCGATGGCCAAAACCAAATCTGGCCACTGTATTGAGCATTTGGAATGAAAACGGTAGTCTAGGATATATTTTTTTAAGGGAAGAATTTCTTCTTGATTGCTTTTACCTTTTTGTACTCTTGCCACGTACGGTGAAAGTCAACATGGCCGTCAAAGCGTTTTTGTAGTACTGTCCAGCCACCTCCTTCTGTCTCCATGTCACAGAAAGCCTTCACACATAAAGAAAAAGGAGCTGCTGTAATTAATAATTCAAAATTAATGCTCTGTAAAGAATCACTGCTCATTTATAATTTGACAGTGGCGTCTTATTTGAGTTGGGTTAAAACAAATGTTAAGCTGCAGGGAAGGAATACAGAATTGAAGTCCAAGTCTTATCTGCTGAAAAGTATCTAAGGAGATCACAGTTGTAGCTCAAGCATGCACATCACTAATGGAAGTCTGAGAGTGTTTTAATCCAACTGCCCCGCCCACGAACACAATACTGTTTACTGATCCCAGAGGTGTGCAGTGTTTTATTTACAAGGTTGTGTAAGTGTGGATATATATATATATATATACTTTACCTTAACCTCTATTGTAGTGTTGGGTAATGTGAGAGTGTAGACTCCACTTTGGGTGTTTCCTGACTTGAAGACGGCAGCACAGTCCATGAATGTGGTTGGAGTGTCCTGCATCATGACTGTTTTGGTCTCTGCAGAAGAAATCAGCTTTGTTCATATGACGTCACACAACAGTACAGCACTGAACTGTCCTCCTTTGATAAGTTCACATCGTCTACTAAAAAAGGGGCATCTTCATTGCTTTAGTCCTTTGAAAGTGCAGCGGGTGGTAATTAAAGTTAGCAGGTTTTCGTTTGTGCAATCTAATACAAAAGCACAACCACATGCAATTGTCTCAACCATGAAACGTGTATTATTTGTGGTATTAGTTTGTAGTTGTTAAATTGTATCCACCCCTCATTATTTACAGTGGCACTCTTTCTTGGGATGTAGTTTAAGGATATAAATATAAGAATGCATATGTAGTCTGCCTTTCATTGATTATTATACTATAGGGTAGAGAAGTTAAAGTGATCTGGAGTGCCGACTCACCTTTAGCGGAGCCGGCAGAGATGGTCTGAATGAGGTTGTTCACGGTTTCCAGCAGCTCCTGCTGCTGATGCTGCAGAACAGTGTTGTTGGAGGAGACTTTGAGGAGCTGCTGCTCCAACTCGCCTATGATGGCCGTCTGTCTCAGTATTAGAGTCTGAAGCTGCTCCTTTTCATCTTTAAGCATCTTCAGCTCCACTTGCCTCTGCTCCTCCATATCCCCTACCTTTTTCTCCAGAAAGCTGAGGACAAGGTAACAAGTTTAACAGCAAGCTTTGTCTTTGTTTTGCACATTAGCTGTACAACGCTGTACTCGTGGTGACCCTGAAAATTGTTTAATTTGATGCCCTCACCTGTTTTTGTCATTCAGCTTGTTGATTTCATTTGTTTGGACGATTAGTTGTTTTTCCAACTTGTTGGTTGACAAAGAATTTTCAAGAAGTCTGCGCTCAAGTCGAGTTGTGTGATGAATTACCTAAAAACAAAAGAACAAGTTGCCAGTCTGCACTTGTAGAGTAAACAAACAGCCCTTTGTAAAATGGAAAAACATGAGAGGAAAGAACAAGCAAATTCCAATACAGCAGACGTACCTGAACAAGGGAAACTTTAAAAATCCACCTATTTTCACAGACACACGTATTGAACTACTAACTCTGGGGTTGGGGACCTTGCCTCTAATTTCCCATTATGGAGGAACTGAACTCAGCAAAAAGCAGGTTGTTTACATGGATCCTAGCTATGTGTCTCCAATGGAGCTGTTGATGTCTTTGAACAGACGGATGTCTGATTGTGACAAACTGATAGACCCTTTCTGTGGGAATACGAGTGGTGCTAATAACAGGAAATGCTGTACAGTTGGCTCACATAAGGTCATTGACGTGTAGCCACAATAATAAACTGACGCAGTCATGCCTGTTTTTCCCTCTGCTTATTTTTTCAACTCTGAAGCTACATTATTTAATGCGGCTTCTTTCTGTTTAAAGTAGCGAGCAGTGCAGCCTCACCTGTGCCTCCACATTGGTCAGTTTCCTTGTTTGCTCTGCAGTTTGACTCAGCAGGTTTGTTCCTATTTCAATCATCGTAGCTGTGTGGTTGTGGACAGCGGTCTGTTGGATTTGGACCATGTCCTGCTTCATGCTGTCCTGTATGTAGTTCTCCAGCTGCAGCACAGAAGAAAGACAATTACCATTAGATGGTTTTTAAGAAGTATTGATTAGAGCATTAACCAGTGGTCTTTGTTGTGCATGCACAATCATGTATTATTCATAGTTCACAGATAAACAGCTGCTTCAGTAATGTTGGAGACAAAGCGGCTCAGGTTCTTGCTTGAGTTCTTGAGCAACCTCATTTGCAGTTGATAAGAGAAAATTCATTGTCACTTGTTCTCTTTTCTTCAGATTACCCTGTTGGATCAGGGAATAACATTCAATTGAGTGTTCATTGTACATTGACCGGAGTGCAGTTAACACCATTGTCACAGAGAGTGAAGTGTCAACAGTTAAACAACTTTATGATAACAGACATACTATTTATTATTATTGGGTGTGTAGCCATGCTTCTTAAAATCTCAAAATTTGTTGTTTTCAAACTCATTGGAAAGCTTGTAGTAGACATTTTATATATTTCATTGTTGTATTGTTTTGCTCCCTCCTCTTACATACCAACTTTATCTTCTTGTTGGAACACTTAACCATTTTCTCTTCTGTCTGACTCACATCATCACGTAATGTACCCTGGTCTACCCATAATATCCCGGCAATGATGGTGTTATTCATTTAAAAAATCTGTGTCGCCTTCATATTTTTTTATATTTGTATGCTATAGGTTCATTTAACATTGATATATCAGCATTATGATGAGGCATATTGTTCTGTTATTTAAAGAGAGCTATATGGATGCACGTAAACAGAACCGTCCCATGATGAGGCATTTCTTATTGTTTTTATTATATGGCATCAAGTATTTTAGAAGAAGAAAAAGAGTCAGTTAGAAGATGTTGTTTTTCCTGAAAGTCAATATGTGTAAAGTATTAGATTGTAATTTCTTAGCAAAGTGTTGAAATAATACAAATCTTTAAATTATTAATATAAATATTATTCGTATCATCTTGCCCATATCGAACCTCTTAATCACAGGAATAATACAATAGCTCAGACTCCCTCAGGGTGGGAAAAGGTCAGTGTTTCATCTTTAAAAGATTTGTTTTTATCTACCTTACTGTATTGCCAGATTTAGACTGAGACCAATCATTAAGTTATTTCCTGCATGGTGTTCCTGAGTGGCAATCAGGTCACACGACTCGTAAACAGGATGGAAGTGTTGAGTGAGGAGTTACATCCTTCATGACACTATGATATGTGTGTACAACGGGAAAATAGGTGACAGTTGTAACATCTTCGTCATCTACCGTAAGTTTGCACAATCACTTTTGTTATTTAGTCATCAGTCAGTAATGTCACCCCCGAAACAGCCAATTATATTATTATTTTTCTTATGGTAAATACATGTAACAGCTGCAATCAGTGCTGATTTTGTTTGTCTTCCTTTCATGACTTCCAGTTTGTTTATGTTCTTGGATACACACAGGGATGTGTCGTAGGTGGAAGGTTGTCATTTGAATTGTTGGGCAGGATGTCCCATTGACAGTAAATGATCTAATCAGTTGTTTACTCCGTGTGCCTCAAAGGCGTCAGTAAAGTAAGGCTGCGTTCCTCATTCACACGAGAGCGTGACAACAAATTGTTTTCCTTAGTTGCCATCAGCTGGTGCATAGAGTGCAGTAGAGTACATAGAAAAAAGCAGAAAAAAACTTTTATGTTATCATTTACGTTTATGGGATACCAATGTGAAATTATTTAAGCTTGTAAATGACACTGATTCCTTTAAATTAGGTGGCGGCTACGTGTTTTCTAAAGTTATTTAACTTTGTCTCAGCTCTTCCATCCTTCCATCAAACTGTAAACTCCTGTAAAAGAGGTTTTTAATAATCAATCAATCAATCCCCGAAATTGTCTTTATCTGCACTCATCAAAAGAAGATAATTAATTATATATATATATATTTATTGGCTGGTTTTATTAGCTGAAGATAGACAGGAAAGAGAGAGAGAGAGATAGAGAGGGGATGACATGCACAGGCAGCAAAGCGCCACAGGTCGGATTCGAACCCATGGCCTCTGCAGCAAGCACTCAGCAAGGTACCAACTCTACCAGGTGAGTTATCAGGAAGCCCCAAGACACCGCTGCAGTAAAACAAACTCCTCTGTTTTTTTTAATGTTTAGCTGTTGAAGAAATGTGGCTCTCTTATTTTAGCTGTGATGAATGCTACCTCACGTCTCTGCCACACTTTTGACTTCATTCTTCTGAGATATTAAGGGACATGGCACACTCACCTACTGATAGACCTTTACAAAATCTAATGCTTCCACTTTGTTAATGCAGAGCCGTAGTAAGGTATAATATTTAATAGTGAGACTATGTTGTGTAGTGTGGTAAAAAGGTGTTACAGATAATTTCTCTTCTTTATGGCAAAGTATCAAGTAAAATTTTAGGAAACAACGTTTGGGTTGTGAAACTTTTAATCATCATACCTTAACTGTGACTTCTTCTCCCATATTTGTCTTCTCATGTGCAAATTAATTTGGTGAAATCGTACAACAAAAGAAAGTACTGGAGTCCTCCTCCGTGCATTAAGAAATATGAAGCCTGTCACATGTGCTGTTGGACTTTGTAAAATGTTCACTCGTGTCGTAAACGGGCTGCAGCACTTGAGCTGTTGCCTGTGTGAACGTGGTTACTGAGTAGCAGCATCTAGATCATAAAGAACATGAAAGAAGAGTACCCTCTGAGCTCTCCTGTGGGCCAGATCAGAGCTTCTTTTATGTTATGAGATGGGAAATTGTGTGATCAAACTGTGAGCCGTCCTTGTCTCCTCTGGCTCGTCTTATATAGTTCAGATCGGTAATTACACTCTAAAGAGGGAGAGGCAGTCCTCTTCTTTCACTTGCATAAGTAAAGGTTCAGCAAACTGAAAGGAAAGTATGCATCCCTCATGTGGACACCTGTGTTGAGTCTTTGTCAATCATCAAACCCATTATGTCCTTTTGCACTGAATGAAAGAGTCTCAGCACATTTCTTTTGTTCCCAAAGATTCTTTAGGAATCTCCCGGTCTTTAAAGAAAGAAAGATAAGTAAAGAAAATAAATAAATATGGCTGGGAACCGTGCTTGGTTATTTTATGTGTTATAGCTCTGACATAACTATACAATTAGACAAAATTGCTTTCTCATTAAACTGATTTGGTCTTTTGTTTAGTTGAGCAGTGGATCACTTATTTATTTTATGGTATTGGTCAGGCCTTACTTGTGTTTGTATGGCACTTAACAAAGAGCGAGTGGTTTAGCATGAGACTGAATAGTTTGCCCGTCACATGAACACAAAAACAGCAGTTATCCTTGAAACAAGTTTCTTCTCATTCTGAATGTTAAAGTGAGCAGATGTTCCATGCGCTGAAGTATATTAGATAATGTTTTAGCAGCAGTTCATCCAAATTGCCTCCATGTTCTATTGTAAATGTTTGTTCTTTATCTCCAGTGATACCTGTTTAAATTTTTTAAAGCTTTTTAGCACATTTTGTCCTCTACATCATCAAAGTCTGAGACACCTAAATAGACATCATCCTGTTTTCCTCTGAAACTATCACTCTCACTGTAATAACTCAAGTCTTTCGTATTGATGTGATATCATGCGTGGACACAACTTTACCTTAAGCAGCCACTGTGTGTTGTTCTCCATGGTGATCTCCAGTTGTTCCAGCCTCTGAGCCGACATGTCATTGTCCACGGGTCCATCCTTTTGAACTGGAAAGTTGTAGTTGCCGCCCTGGGTTTGGCAGTTCTCCTGCTCTGGCAGCAGAAAGGTGTAGCTACATGGTCCGTTTTGGATCTGATACTGTCTCTTACTCACTGCGCAGTATCCTGTCCCCAGACCAAGGCAGAAACTTAAAACTAGTAGGTCCAAATTCAGCATTTTCATAGTGAAGCTATTTGCCTGAATTTTAAAGTTAGTACAATTATCACTCCTTGGATTGTTCCTTCACTCAGTGACTGGATGTCTTTCCCCAACAGCATCCAAGTGTAAACAATCCTCTTGAGGTTCTGCAGATTCCTTTTATTACCTCTCGGTGGTAGGAGGAGAAAAAGCCATCAGGAATTTGTGGTAGTGTGTCATTCCCTGAGGTTACCGGTGCCAGACTGCATGTGCTCGTCTTTCATCAAGCCCCCAACCACTTGTTTCAGCTGCCCGTGGCCCCTCTGATTAGCTAACTGTGAGTTTAAACCACTCCCCCCTCCTCACTGTGACCAGTCGCTGTGAAGAACAGTGAAGTGGAGATTCCTTTCAGTACACACACTCACTAAACAACACAGAGGAGCAGATACACAAAACCACACACGTTCCACTATATCCTCTACAATATACCACGTTTTTTTCTCCTCTAGTTGAACAGCTCCTCAGGATGCAGCTGTCCACCTTCAGCACACTCTGTGATAGTAGCAGTGTCCATCCCATTCATTGAAGAATGTTTCCCGGCCTAGGACAAACACACTAGCATCTTTGAATGGGAGATTCAAAGGAAAAAGCCTTTGTCTAGATGGCATTATTAACTCTTTCCACACATTTTCCTACTTAGTCCTCGTAAGATGCTAAATTTATATTAAGCAAAATCGACTTCCTTTTCCAGTTCTGTTCTTTTTTTTCTTCTTTTTTCTGCACCACTTGGGTTGAAGTTCATGATGTTACAAAACAATCCAAAATTCCCAGATCTTCCTTTGGGTCTCAGGGTCCATGAAGCCTGTTGTTGGTACAAACTAAAGTTGCCACTTGATGACCTCTGACCACAAAATAGTCATGGGTTTTTGTATTTGCATGATGCATCTGCTTCAGGGTAGATTTATGCAATTGTAGATTAAATGTACTTGGCAGTTCTCTGTCTGAGTCATAAGTATAATGAAACATTACTTGTTCTTACCCTTTCAGATGGCAAAAGTCATGGGAAAGTTGTTTGTTGTTGTTTTCTCTTACAAACAAATGCTATTTTGTAAGTGTGTGCTAGCTTGTTAGACTGGTGAAATTGTCAGGATTTTAATATGTGGGCAGCTTGTGGGTGTTTTTTTGTATCCTGTCCCAAACGTTTACATCTACACTAGATTGAAATAGCACGACAAAAAAATGATCCCACGCAGATAAACAATTCCTTATTTATTTTTTTAGTTTGAATCTGTGCATAGCTGTTAATACTCCGTGTGAAACTGATCAGACTTAATACTAGATACTACAGTATTTTCAGTCCAGTTTTGAGAACAACATGCCTCAAATGCTTGTGTTGGTAACTTGTTTTTCTGTTTTTCAGTAGAAAATGGTTTTGAAAATGAGTCACCCCTGGGTTATATTCACTAGAAAATTAAGGGGTTGGCTCAACATATAATGATACAGCTATATACAACATTTACCTGTTATAATGACTATTCTGCAACACACAAATAGAAAGTTTGGGGTCTTTTTAATTGCAGCTTTATCCCAACCTGACAAAGTTGTTGCTGTCTGGTGGCTCTCATGTCACAGTGGGGGACAGAGTAGGAAGAGCATTGACACAGGAGGATGTTTTGTCTTATACTGCAGTAATGTGCCTGCATCACAGACACTCTGCTGTTGATTCAGTAGCCTCTCTCTTTACTCCCAACAGTTAAATCTTTGAAAGGCAGACAGACCTTGGTCCATCTGTAGCAGTATGCAAAATAATTGTTGAGAGTGAGCTTGATATTGTGTACTGCAGAGATGTTTTACCTTGGCATAACCACATTTTAGTGTCGACTGCACCAGATTTCATTTTCTGACAGGAAAGCTTTAGATTTGCCTTCTGCAGTTGGATTGAAATACCGAAACAGAATGGTAGGAAGTAGGCTGATGTAATAGTTACTGTATAAGGGAAATGCAACATATTTAAGGCACATTACCAAAGAGGAAGGAGTTGTCGTCATTCTAAAAACATTGACTTATTCAGGTGTCCGGGCTGAATCACTCAAATTGTAGATTTAGTGGCAGCAGTTGTAGTATATGAGTTGGTAATTGAAATCACAGGGAAGGGACGGGACATGAACAGTGATTCATTTAAATAGATCCCCGAGCCACATCCTATGTACGGAAACATACCACACACAGTTTTCTCATACTCTGAGCAAAGAATGTGACTTCTGCTGAACTATTAAGCACACATACAATGTCTTTCACTATAGAGGGCTGTTGAGCTTAATTTATTGTTGCCTGGCATTGGTTGCCTGTCTGTCCTGCCTCTCTGCAGAAAAATATAACTCTAAATTAATGGCTGCAAAGATTCCCCTGTGAGGAATAAAACATTTTTTGCTTTCAAGAGTGTCTCAATGACTTGTCCTGTAGAGATTTTAAAAATACTGAAAAATGCAACAAACAGGCTTCAGCTTGTAGATTAATAACAGACAAATATTTTTAGTATCATGTTTGAACTGGTTAAGTTCTACATCTTATATAGTGCCACCTTAACATGCAGACAGAAATTTGGGTTATGATAAATGTATCTTTAATGCAGCACTGTTGTAGATGTGAAATGAAATGTACAGAAATCCAGACTGTTGTTGAACACACCACAGCAAGTAAATGTTTAAGGGCACTTAAACATTTTAGTGGCATCTAGTGGTGAAGTTTCAGATTGCAACCATTTGAATACAGCTCAGCCTGTAGGGGAATTGTAGTAGTGTTTGATTTGTCCATTCTGGGCTACTGTAGAAACATGGTGGGCTCCATGAAAGGCAACCTGCTCATTCTAAGCTCTAAAAATGGTCATACACTAATGAAATGAATATTATATTTTATTTCTGCAAATAGATCTTCCTAAATGTTACACACTGGCCCTTTAATAGAGGACGCTTGTTTTATATATATTCTTAAATTGGTCAAGCCTTTACAGTCTTCCCAGTCCTGTTGTTAGAAGCAGTGTGAGACTGGTTGTGTGACATAACTCTGAGTAATAAACGGGTTGAATCGAGCTTGGCCTGACCACACACAACTTTATAGAATTATTTTAACCATTTGAAGTTTCCAGAAGGCTTAAAATTGTTTGTGTACTTTTTGTGTCAGCATTTTGTTCAGCTCTTTTATGTTGCCCTTTTGTGTTGGCCTATTTTTCCTAGTTTTTAAAGCCTTGTGACATAATAGACCTTACATGTAGTCATTCCCTTAAAGTGCACAATGTGGGTTAATGTTAACCTGACCCTGTCTCTGAACCCTCCGACCAATCCCCGATTACTTGACGTAAAGTGAAACTTGTGTGAACACTGACAAAAGACTAAAGCCTTAAAGCTTGCTTCCTGGCATTTAACTTAGAATAGAGCAGATTGTGCCCTTCAGTTTAGCAACTGACCCCTGCTGGATACAGAGCGGGTCCGTAGCGAGAGCTTAGAGCATCACTCACCAAACCCAGAAAGAAACACAACCTCAAAGAGGATCTACAGTCTCTCCTTTAGTCAGACAGAACTGACAATACTCTACAATGGCACATGAGATGGCATTGTAGCTCACTTTTGTGCCACTCAGAGGTTGTTATTCTAACTGTAATAAACTGTGGTGAATTTAGGGTTTTTTTCATGGTACATTTAATCTTTCAGTTGTGGTGTTCCAGCATCTGTTTTTCATGTCTCTCAAAACCAGATTGTTACTGCTGCATCACTAGCAGCCACCTTCAGGCCAGTTTCAGTATTGAATCACAGTTTGAGGTTGTGGCTGTGATGACTTACAACTTAGGTTCTTCAGGGTTAATGTGGATGCTTCATTTATTTACTTATCAGGGACAGCACATATTAATCAACATCAATGTGACGTAAATGTGCCAGATTAAGGCAAAGAAGCGATCCTAGGGCAGTTGTTGCTGTTTTAAAGGACCAGTGTGTAGGATTTAGTGGCATCTAGCGTTGAAGATTAAGACTGAATGAGAACAGGCTGTGAAGTCTGTAGGAGAAACGAAGGTGGCTGTGAAACTCCCGAAAAACATAAAAGGCCTTATCTAGAGCCAGTGTT